GGCACGAGGTCGGTTGGACATCCGCCGACGTTTGATCATGCGTAACCTTACGAGCACCTGAACTCAATTGAGTTTATGTCCTCTTAGTATCCTAGACTGCCCACCACGTTTGGCACGTGAGCTTGTGCATGATCACGTGGTCGAGCAACGCCAATGGGATAGATCGAGAACTTGCGAAAGGCGACAGGTCTTAACATGGTTCACAACGTCCATGCAATGAGGAAGCAGGCGCGTGCTCTCTGAACTAAAGCCACGGCAACGCGAAGGAGATGCTGGCTGCTGGATCGTTCAGTCGGGACGCGCCACTCTCTCTGCGAGCCTCGCTTACCAAAGAGCAAAGTTGCGTCTGCGATGTGTGCTAGGCAACGGTGATGACGACGACGAGCGACCAAGATACTTCAGTATTGGTCAAGTACTGTTTGTAACCAGATCGATACGACGCCGTGGCAAAGCGACGTCGCAGTCGCACACGGGATGCGCCAGGGACGTGCTGGAACCGAGACGACAAGTGAACGGGCGCCCAAACAACTCGTACGCCGAGGGATCGACTGCACGTGATAGTAGTAGAAATCGATAAAGAGCACGGCGTGCCCAAAGGATCGCTGTGGAACGTCGTTGACGAGCGTCTGCCAAAGAAGATACAAGGAGCTTGGCCGATTCATGGCACCAGTGCAGCCCTCTTCAGCGAAGCCTACGACGCAGCCCGCATGAGATGCATGAACAATCACGATGGTCGATGCACGAGAAGGTCGTCGCGGTCCTTGGGTGCTCGCCAGGAGGGCATCATATGCTCTCCTGGCGGCTCAGAGATCTGCAAAGTTGTCCAGTCCGTACGTCTGAAACTGTACGTCTGTGTCCGTCCGTTGCTTCCGAATGCAGTTGCGCCGCAGTGCAGACCCAAGATCTCACTTGAAGACGCCGCGCAACAACACCTCGAAGTAAGACTCGGTCTGGCCAAGCCGGTATGCCACATTTAGCAAGTATGAGAGCGCGCACCGCAGCGTACGATGCTTGAGCAAGAAGACATTTTTGAAGGATGGCCTTGGCGCTGTCTGCGAAGCGATCCTTGATGACATGATGGCGCTTGTGGTCGAAGATGATGTGGCTGTCTCTACAGTGCACTGATGAGCGTCGGTCGCCGTGCCTGCAATGACGATGGAACATATTCGCCGACCAGCTTGGTGACCTCGTAGCATGTCGTGTAGTACGAGTACGATGGAGCTCTACCACGGGCATTCGTGCTTTGACTTTACTGCCGTCGGTGCTGCCATATCGTGGTCTGCCAGTAGAGCATTGCAAGCTTCTTGCTATGGCCCTCGACCGCGTGGCCAATGTCCTTGGCAGTCCATGCCTTTGACGTGTGCCGTGGCATTGTGTGGTTGAGCGTGCTCCAAGCCACTACGTCCATCCAGAACCGAGCGACACCGCAATGATCGTAGGAATTGGGCGTACACGGACGATGGTGTTACGCCATACAGCGCAGCCAAAGCGTCTTTGCACTCGCTAACGTAGATCCAGCGACGCTTCAAGTGCCATGGTACGCACGAGCTGGTCCAAGCAACATTGTGTATGCGAAGGCGATGGCTGGGCGATCACAAGTATCGTACTGATAGGTCAGTATATCCCGAAGCGCATACCAAAGAGACGATGCGACCTGCTGCGAGGATGCAAGGGGTAGCAGGCGAGCATGGCATCAAGGAGCGACGCAAGTGCATTTCAAGACTCTCAACTCTGCGGCAACTCTGTCAACTCAAACTGCAGGTTGCCCGCAACAAGCGCGCTGTTGTCAGTACCAATCTGCATGGGAGGATCTTCGAACGTCGTGGCAGCGTTTATTATCCATCGCAAGCACGTCCATAGCAGTGCTGTCCCAGCAGTCGCAGTCGCAATGACGCGACCGCTGCATGGACCCGCGTACGGCTGTCTATCCGGATATCGGACGTATTATCCGTATTCTCGTAATGGGCGGGCAGCGTGAGTCACACGAGCCGTGCGAAGTGAACTCTTGCCTCCTCTCCCGTGCGCATCAATATCAGCACCATCATGGTCGTCGGTCCGTCTCCATTCCTCTCGCCGCTCCAGGTCCAGGCCGCCAACCGCGAGTACCCGCCTGTGCCCAGCGTCTGCGTCGTCACGGGCGGTACCGGCTTTGTCGGCCAGCGCGTCGTCGAGATGCTCGTCGAGCGTGGCGCGACCAAGGTCATCTCGTTCGACATTGTGCCCAAGCCGGCGAATGGCTTCTGGGAACACCCGAGCATCGAGTACGTTGTCGGTGACATTGCCGACAAGGACGCAGTCATGGCGGTCTGCGAGGGCGCCGATTGCGTGTGGCATTTGGCCGCAGCCGTTGGCCCGTTCCACCCGACCGAGCTCTACTACCGCGTCAACTACCAGGGCACGCTCAACGTCATCGAGGCCTGTAAGGCGCACAAGGTGCCGAAGATCGTCATGTCGTCGTCGCCGTCGACGCGCTTTGACGGCTCGGACATTGACGGGCTCACGGAAGACGAGATGCCGACGCTGCCGCAGGCGTCGTACCTCCAGGCCTACGCCGCAACGAAAGCCATGGGCGAGATTGAGATGCTCAAGGCCAACTGCGACGAGCTGCTCACGGTCGCGATCGCGCCGCACCAGGTCTACGGCCCGCGCGACAACCTCTTCATGCCCAACATCCTCGAAGCCGGCGGCAACGGGTCGCTCCGCATCTTCTCGTCCGGCCGCACGGGCTATGGCTTCAACAAGGTGTGCTTCACGCACGTCGACAACTACGCCCACGGCCTCATCATTGGCGAGCGCGCGCTTGTGCCCGGCGGGAAGGCCGCCGGCAAGTTTTACATTGTGACCGACGGTGCGACGCACCCGAGCCCCGCGGGATACGCGTACTTCTGGAAGGTCGTCGACGAATCCGTCATTGCGATGGGCTTCCCGAGCCTCTGGGAGAAGTTCAAGCTGCCGTCGTGGGTGCTCTGGCCCGTCGCGTATGCGTCGAGCGCCATCTCGTACGTCACGGGCCGTAGCATCAAGCTCAACCCGTTCACCGTGCGCGTGCTCACAATGCACCGGTGGTTCGACATTGCGGCGGCGACGACCGACCTCGCGTTTCAGCCCATCGTGGCCTTTGACGATGCGTGGAAGGACATGAACGCGTGGTTCCTCGCCAACTGGCTGCCCAAGTTCCAGAAGACGCATGGCATGGCCGGCATCTCGGCGCAGTCGCAGGCCAAGATCGACGTCCAAGCCACGACGATTGCGTCGTCGTAGAGGTTAACATTCCGCTCATTTTTCTACAACCACGCACAAATATACCTTGAGAGTGAGAATCATTTTAAAACGAGATGGGCCAACTGGTTTCCGCCCTTGGGGCTGTGCGCAGCAGTGGAATGGGAGCTGGGATGATTGTTGTCCTTCGAAATATGCACCACCATGTATAATCAAGCTTGGAGAGAAGCAAAGCCTCTGCCATTGGAGAAGCTGCTTATATTTTGTGGCCAAGCCTGTGGTTGGAGTGGACGCCGGCAAGCTACGCCGCATCTCACCCGACCAAGCGCCGTCGCAGCTGCAGCGCCGTTTGGCTACCTTTGCGTGTAGCCGCCGCCTACCATTTTCAAGTGTACGGTCGTGTATCGCACGCCAGGTTTGCATTGCGCATAATCGCGGGTGGAAACGGCAGGAAAGAGGAGGTCGCCATTGACATCCACGTGCACGATCTGAAATGAGATGGCTTGATCTGACAACCCGAAGCAAGCGCTCGCATGCAGAGCCGGGGATGGATTCTGCCCACCTATCGGTTCCGCATTGTCCGCTGTTCGTAGCCTGCATTGGCGTCGCCCATTGACACTCGGCGTGTTCGATCGCAGATCCGGCGTGTTGGAGCCGTCCGTTTGTTGTCGGATCCACCCAGGATGTAACGGCGAGGACACTCTTGTTCTCAATACTGTCTCCAATCGAAGCAGCCGCTCCATTAAATGATGTCTCCATGTGACAGAGAGCGTAAGAAGCGCCGTTTGAGACGTTTGCGAGAAAGCGAGGTCCGAGTAACAAACGCCGACATGGACCGTATGCATGTCGTTACATTTGAGCAGGACCAGGACGAAGAACTCGGCGCCGTTGATGACGCCAAGCGCGACCGTGATGTGCACGTCGTCACCCACGACCTCTGCACTGGCGGTTTGCTTAGCCCCAAAGTCGTGGCCGATACAGTACATGCCCGTAGATCGACCGTTTCCATTGATCGAGACGAGCAAGGCGCCTGTACGCAATGTGCCAAAGACAGAGCTGCATTGGTGGTGTGAAAGCGGCGCGCCGAACAACGTCGACGACTCTACCGTCGGAAAGTTGGGACTGTATAGGGGCAGCTTGAACCCACTGTGGTAGAGATCCCCGTACCGTTGGCGCAGAAAGGCGCACGTGTCGCAGCCGTGTGTCGTCCGTACCAAGTTGAAGCGCAAAATAATATACCGTTCGTATACAGCGCCCAAGAGCTCGCGATAAAACGCGCGCCACGACGCTCGTGCTTCGGACATCCCACGTGTTTGTGCGGTAACAAACACACGGACGGCGCTCGGGCGCTGCGCTCCGTGCTCATTTTCCAACTTTCGCTTCGCAGCAAAGTCTCTCTACGCATCATGAAGATCGCCGCTGTTGTTGCCATGGCTGCGCTCGGCGTTGCCGCTGTCTCGGCCGAGTCGCAGGCCCGCAACGGTCTCTTCAAGTTCGACACTGACGTCGACGGCGACGTCGAGAACACTGAGATCATCGATGATGGTTACAGCGGCTTCGAAGTGGGCACCGAGTCGTACGAGATGTACCCGACGCCAGAACCGTCGACGCCGACGCCGGCACCGACGACCCCTAAGCCGTGCACGACCACACCTGCGCCCACAACGCCCAAGCCGTGCACCACAACGCCTGCGCCGACAACGCCCAAGCCGTGCACAACGACGCCTGCGCCGACGACGACTAGCGCCCCGACTACCGCTCCTTGTACCAAGACCCCGTCGCCGACGACGACTAGCGCTCCAACCACGGCTCCTTGCACCAAGACCCCGTCGCCGACGACGACTGGCGCTCCGACTACCGCGCCGTGCACAAAGACCCCGGCTCCCACAACGACTGGCGCTCCGACCACGGCTCCCGGTTCGCAGACCCCGTCGCCGACGACGACTGGCGCCCCGACTACGTCTCCTTGCACCAAGACCCCGTCGCCGACGACGACTAGCGCCCCGACTACGTCTCCTTGCACCAAGACCCCGTCGCCGACGACGACTGGCGCTCCGACCACGGCTCCTTGCACAAAGACCCCGTCGCCGACGACGACTGGCGCTCCGACCACGGCTCCCGG